TGCACCACTTACAAAAATGAATGACTATGCTTAGGAAATTAAGAAAACGCTTTTCCATTTTTTGCTAAATTGATTGGTTGGCAAAAATTGAGATGAACAGTCATACATTGTCATACACTCAACTGCAAACCTTTCACGAACTCAACAACGGAGAAAGAAAACACAACCGAATCAATAACAGTCATGAATTCAAATAGAAGGTCAAATATTTTTGTTTCAAATTTGAATCCAAACGAAATGACACATTTTCATCTAAACTATCAGGACACTATTTTTGCAAAGAAGACTGTTAGTATCTTGAACTATGAGCGCGAATCAAAAAAACCTCAGCAGAAAATTTGAAACGAAAAATTCGCGTTGTTTTTCAAATTTTAAAAGAAAATTAAATTTACTGAAGCAAAAAAATTACTGGTCAGAGTTATTCTGATTACTCTATTTGCCCATCTGTGATAAGATTCATTTCACATACTTAAAACATAGTTTAGACAAAAGATTCTGAAAAAAGTCCAATTTTTTGCAGAAATATTACAATCTAGAAAAGCATCCACAAAAGTCATATCTTATCTGCACGCACACAAATAACTTCCAAGTCAGCCTTCCAACAACTTAAAGCGATGAAATCAGTTGATTAGAAGCAAAAACTAAGCCGGCAGCGTTTTGTAACGGGAAACATTACGAGGCCAAACTGTGCACTTAATAGGCGCATAATTTGATGTGTGCAATTTTCTGAAATCGAGAGACAAGTTTTTAAATTTTGTCAGAACAATCACAGAAAACGAAAAAAACGAAATGAAGAGAGCGTCCTTTTTGCGGAATCCGCCAAAAGTTCACAAAAATACACGGTTTAGCATCGTGATAAAGATATACAGGAATGGGAATCAATGAAAAGTATGGGGGTTATTCTCATTATGCAGAGACCGCATGATGGAAAATTTTCAACCAATCGATATTGTTAAACTTTTCGATTGGCTAATCGAGTTTTGCCCATAAACGAAGTTTTCCTCAACGGAAATTTATTTATAGCGGTACAGCAAAGTTTTTCTGCACAATTTATGCGGATAAACTGTAAATTGTTTGTTTCGTTTTATATATATTTTTTAAAAAAATCATAATTAGATTTTTTCGAATACCCGACTTTGATTTTGCTAAATTTAAAAATTTGTGTATCTGCTTGTTTTCTAATCGGTCAATAATAATTTTATTGGCCTAGATTTCTTCGCTCTTTTGAGATTTTTGCAATTTCTTTGAGATTTTTGAATATTCAATTCTGATTGCCTGAAATTTAATAAAATAAATTTCCATTGGGTCCTCAATCATGAGGTACGCCACCAAAAAATATTTCCAAATTTGGTCGTTATGCTCACAAGTGTCAGAAAATAAAAAAAACTTGAAGTAGATTTGAAGTCAGATTTTGGAGCAAAAACGAATCTCGCAAACCTATAAAACTACAAACAAGATCTGAAAAGGTCCCACCTGTATTCGGACTAAGTACCTAGGTCTGAGAATTTTGAGGAGTTTTTTGTAAAACATTCGTACAAAAATCGAAGTTTTAAAGTAAGTTCAGTTTTTCAAAAAGATTTTTCAAGAAAAAATCTGCAAGTTGAACTATCTACACTTTTAAAAATGCTGAAAGCAGTTAAATTACCTGAGTTTTAAAAAACAACCCAAACTGCGGCAACTAGGCTGACAAGCAAAAACTTTATAATCGGAAAATACCAGTCCTGTCCGGACTCGAATCCCACACTTTATTCGTCTCAAGTATCGCTTTTAATTTTGGGCCAAATGTGCAGAAGCAGTCAATAGATTTAAAGATAAGATAAGACAAGTTGATCTTCTCGAGTGAGTTATGTGAACAAAGTTTATACTACGAAAAAATTGCAATTAAGTATAAATTCATACATCAATGTAAAAAAATCGGGAAATACATCGGAAGCGATTGATGTGATTTTATGCAAAGCAGTCTGAATAACGAAATTTATAGGTTTTGACGAGCGTGGTACAATTTTTAAAGCATGTATATATTTTGAGGCAGAGTAATGAGGTTTTAAGCCAGACAACTTGCTTGAATTGAGGGCCCATATTTGCTGTTTGCTGTCATCAGGGTAGAGAATGTTTTCATCGAATATTTCCCACTCTTTCAGCTGTTCATAAGCGCCTCTATTCAATCCCAGTTGTCCATCCTGAACACCCGATACATAGTCATACACTTCGCTATAATTCGGCGAATAGATACTAAAAGTGGTACATGAAGGATGTTCAACATCAATTGAAAACCGACAAACAATATTTTTCATCTATTATTTTTAAAAATTACAGTGCTGATTAAAAATATAAGAATAAATGAATAAAGCTTGAAATTCAAACACGTTTTTCTTAAAGTAGGTTGAATTTAGACACAAATTGATGAAGAAAAAAACTTTCTTGAAAGAAAGCAAAATTAAAAATTGAGCAATTTATTTTGCAAAATTGGGGCCTAAAAATTTACCCCAAAAACAACCATTTTTGTTTTTTAGTCAATCAAAATTACACCAAAACTATTGGTTCAATTCCTGATAAAAAGAAATCAAAGTGAGCCTCTTCATTAGTTCAAAAAATTAAGAAAGGTTTAATCTCCAAAAGTTTGTGCAAAACGTACGTATATTTTTAAATTGGTATTTTGTATAGTAAAATTGACATTTTTTGGTTATGGCTATCAAACAAAAATAAATTTAATTATACAAAGCTGAGACAATTATGCCTTTCTTAAATTTTGTTGAGCTATACAAGAGGCTCAACTTGATATATTTTTGCCAGCAATTGAACGACTAGCTTTGGCGTAATTTTTGATTGACTAAAAAAATAGTAGTTTTGGGTTAAAAACTTGGGCCAAAAATTTACAACTTATACAGTGCTGATTTAAATTATCCGGACAAATCGAACAAAACTTGAATTTTCAAACGCGTTTTTCTCAAATTGGGTTAAGATTAGACAAAAAGTGAAGAGGACAAAAGTTGCTTAGAATTTCACCAAAATTAATATGGTGCTATTTTTTCTCCGAAATTCTCAACAAAAATTTTACCCCAAAAATGTGTCATTTTGGCTTTTTTCAATTAATCAAGAATTACGCGGAAACTACTTTGTTAATTGACAAGGAAATTATATCACAGGAAGCCTCTTACGCAGTTCAACAAAGTTTAAGAAGGGTTAAATCTCCAAAAACCATTATAAGAGAAAAAATTATCACTTGATAGTCAATAAATGTGATTTTTACTATATAAAACCCAGAAGTTCTGTTTAAAAATAAATTTTAAACAATTTGCGCAAATTTTTGGAGATTTAACCCTTCTTATACTTTGTTGAACTGCGTAAGAGGCTTCTTGTGATATAATTTTCTTATCCATTAACAAAGTAGTTTCTGCGTAATTCTTGATTAATTGAAAAAAGCCAAAATGACCCATTTTTGGGGTAAAATTTTTGTTGAGAATTTCGGAGAAAAAATGGCACCATATTAATTCTGGTGAAATTCTAAGCAACTTTTGTTCTCTTCACTTTTTGCCTAATCTTAACCCAATTTAAGAAAAAAGCGTTTGAAAATTCAAGTTTGTTCGTTTTGTCCGGATAATTTAAATCAGCACTGTAATTACCGCACAATAATTTTGCTTAAATTCTCAGAACATTTTGATCTGTTTCATCAGTTTAGGTCTTAAGTAAGCCCAGTTTGAGAAAAACGCGTTATAAGTTTTAAGTGTTCTTAATTTTATCCGGATCATTTAAATCTTTTCAGTCACTTTGAAAAAATAGAACAAGACAAAACTTCTGGAGCAAAATTTTGAAAAAAAAAAACAAACAAAATTTTTGATATTTTCGACAACTTTTATATTTTAACGACATCTTATCTGGCATCTTTAGCCGACTCTTTTCTGTCAATGTGCCACATATTGTATCGTTTCGCCTCAATTTCGTTCTGGAGTCTACCAAATATTTAAACAATAATCGGTAAGAAGCCACAAAATGCAACATTGGAATCTGAGTTTGAACCACATTTTTGAAAGGAATCAAGCTTTGTTCGGTCACAAAATGCGACCCGTCTAGAACGAAAACCCAATTTGGGTTAAATTTTTTGAAGCTAGCTCTAATGGCGCGGTTTCGAGCTTTATTCGCTTTCAAAATATCTCGCATATATTTCTGAGGGTTTGACTTGTTTGTGCACTTAACAAGTTGGTATTGTTGCTCATAGCGAGTCAGAAGAGCTGTGAGGTTTTGGACTTTTTCGTCACTTTCGAGACAGTTTACCACCCAAAATTTCTGATATTCATCGGGTAATTTTTCTCTGTCCAAAATGTATTTTGTATTGAGGTATGTCTGGTATTCGTGATGCAAGGGAGGTAAATCATTTCCGAGAACTCTGGCTATAACAACTGGTTTCGAAACCTTTGGCTGACTTGTAGTAACTTCTTTGGGTTTCAATTTCTTTCCTCGGATTCGAAAGCTATCGTGTCTGGAACTTTTGGACTTCTTTAAGGAGCACAAGTACAAAAACACTAAAAATCCAATAATTAATGTGCTATTTCTTCTGCTTAAAATTAGTCTGCGTATTTTGTGGAGCAACATTATAATTTTCAATAAAAGGAGGGAAAATGTTTGAGATAAAATAAGAAAAAAATCATCTACAAAATAGAAGCAAACTAGAATTATTTTTTGCTATGATCAGTTTTCTATAGTTACAATTTGAAAACTTTATAAAACACTCAGATATAAGTTCAACAACAAGTTGACAGTCTCAAACTTCAATTAATTTTGCTATATTGCGAAAGCGTTATAGTTGCTAAAAATCTAAATTAGGTTACTCAATTAACGAGTGCTGATGCTATGATTATCAGTAAACTTTCGTTTGATAGACTTACTCTTTATTATAAACTCGAAAATACTTCGAGAAAAATTTCTAGGTTTTCAAAGTCTTCGAGCAAATGAAGTATCTTCGCTTAACTTTTAAATAATCTCTTCCTTCTTTTCTTTTTCAGTCCTTTCCTCCGATCAGCTTAGTGTCTGCGGTAGTTTCAACAGTGCGACTGGCATCCACTGCACTGGTGGCCCTGTACCCGAAAGAGTGTCTGGAACTGCTGGCCATTCTTTCCCTCTTCGCTTCTCTGTTCGGACTATGTTCCGACTTCTACCTAGACATACCACCAGAATACCAGGCAAGTTATCACACACATGTTATGTTATTAACTAACCACACCTTTTTGAAGTATCACCTTGTACCAGTAGCGGATTGGGGAAGGGCGGGAAGCGGACGCTCTTTACCTCAGGGATTCCACCCCCTGCGAGCCAAAGGGTCCCCTTTCGGTAATATTTGAAGACTTCCTTTTTTGGCTGACCAAATGCCATTAAGGGCACCTTCGGCGTCAATTATACCAATTTTGAGAGGGGAGCGCGCGCCAAAAAAGTTCAATTTTTTGATCAAAGCTTTTCAAAAAGTGTCGAAAATTCCTTTTGACTTGTTTTTACAAAAAACCGCCTCAGTCACAGAAAATTTGTTCAGAAAAAGGTTGAGCTCAAAATTCAGTTTGGTCGACCTAAAAAAAGGTCGACAGCCACTTTTTCGAAAATCTGCCCCCTTGAGAAAATGTTAAATTCGCACCTGCCTTGTACAAAACCACGTGATATAGCATAGGGACCCCTTTCCCTAGGGATTCGACCCACTGCCGACCTAAAGAGTCCCAATTTGTTTTATTTTCAGATATCCAACTTTGGCTCCCAGAACCTAAATTTTTCAAAAAGTGCCTTCGGCGCTAATAGTTACAAGGGGGAAGCGCGAGCCAAAAAACGCAAGTTTTTGATCAAAGTTTTCCAAGAAATGTCCTAAAACCCGTGTTTTCTAAAATGTTTCCCGTTAAGAGCTTTGGTAGGTCCTGAAAAATTATTTTAGTCGCCTAAAAAAGAAGTTAACGAAATTTTTGAAATTTTTTTTGAGAATCAAATCCCCACCCTCTCGAGAAAACCGTAGCTTTGCCCCTGCATGTGATCATTTGAATTTATAGTTCCGACAACAGAATCTGGTAAAGGAATTTTGAAATTTTGAATTCGGGTTAGTTTTTTCCGCGCTAAATCAGTTTTTTAAAGACAAATCAAACAAGCTGAGTGCCCGGTTTGAAGTCACAGAGAAAAAAATTAGTTCAGTCCTGTATCAGATTCTGGCAAGTGTCATTTATCTCTGATCAAAGATACATCAGAGAAAAACCGCAGTACTGCAACAGTACTGAATCAGTACTGTTACAGTACTGTTTTAAATTTGTTATTTTTCTGATCAGAGTAAAACCAGAATTTTTTTTCTGATAATTCTCTGATCAAAATAAAGTCAGAGGTTTTGTTTTGATACTTCTCTGATCATAATAAAATCAGAAAAATTGCTCTTTCATTTCTAGGATCATAAGAAATCAAAAATGTTGTTCACTTATTTCTCTGATCAGAAATCGATTCAGAAAAAATCAGAACAGCAATTTTTTGCATGAAAACTCAAAAAATACAAAATTCCGCGCCTAGACACAAGCGTGATTTAATTGAAATTATTTGGTTGGAGTAATTTCAAAAACATTTTCGGCCTTCTTATTGAAGAATAATTTGAAAATTTTTGAAAAAAAGTGGAAAATTTCAAGAAACTCTCGGTTTTCAAACTTAATTGTATTTTTAAAATTAGGTTATTTATGATTATAACAAACTAAAATGAAACTACAAAATGAAAATGCTTGATAAAACTATAAACAATCAATGAAACACAAGCGTGATTACAATGAAATTATTTGAAATTGGAAATTTCTTGAAATTGGAAAAATTCAAGAAACTTTCAATTTTCAAACTTAATTGTATTTTTAAAACTAGGTTATTTATGATTATAACAAAGTAAAATGAAACTATAAAATGAAAAAGCTTGATAAAATTAAAAACAATCAATGAAAAGCAAGCGTGACTTTAATAAAATTATTTGGTTGGACTGGTTTAAAAACTTTTTTGGCCTTCTTATTGAAAATTAATCTAAGCTTTTCTGAAAAAAATGAAAACTTTTAGGAAACTTTTGGTTTTCAAACTCAATTGTATATTTAAAATTAGACTATTGGGATTATAACAAACTAAAATAAAACTATAAAATGAAATTGCACAATAAAATACAAACAATCAAAGAAACACAAGCGTGACTTCAATGAAATAATTTGGTTGGACTGAATTCAAAAAACATATTTGGCCTTCTTATTGAAGATTAGTTTAAGATTTTAGGGAAAAAAATACAAAATTCAAGGGAACTCTTGGTTTTCAAACTCAATTGTATATTTAAAATTAGACTATTTATGATTATAACAAACTAAAATAAAACTATAAAATGAAATTGCACAATAAAATTATGAGCAATCAATGAAAAACAAGCGTGACTTCAATGAAACTATTTGGTTGGACTGATTTCAAAAAATTTTTTGGCCTTCTTATTGAAGATTAGTTTAAGATTTTAGGGGAAAAAAATAAAAAATTCAAGGGAACTCTTGGTTTTCAAACTCAAATTTATATTTAAAATGAGACTATTTATGATTATAACAAACTAAAATGAAATTATAAAATGAAATTGCACAATAAAATTATGAGCAATCAATGAAAAACAAGCGTGACTTCAATGAAACTATTTGGTTGGACTGATTTCAAAAAGTTTTTTGGCCTTCTTATTGAAGATTAATCTAAGATTTTCTGAAAAAAAAATGAAAAGTTCTAGGGAAATCTTGGTTTTCAAACTCAATTGTATATTTAAATTTAGACTAATTATGGTTATAACAAACTAAAATGAAACTATAAAATGAAATTGCACAAAAAAAACTATAAAAAATCAATGAAGCTGCGCGTTACTGTCAATCAGAATAAAAAAGTTTGTCCCTCTGACCTTTCAGGGCTACTGGGTGTTTGCCTCTGCCATTTTCATCTTCTTCTGTTCCGGAAGTAGCATCGCCAGAGCACTCATAGTCACAGAAGACTCCAGGGGGGATCTGGAGAAGATGAGCAATGTGTACACCTGTGCGAAAGAGTCCGTATTCCTAGGTTAGCATGATGATTATAGCCCCCCTACTTGTATTCCTCCCCAGCCCCCTTTCCCCACCCTGAGCCTAAAACTTGCTAAATTTATTATTTTTTCGCACAAATTGATGATATAATTTATGTCATGGGCCAATCTAGGGTTTTTTCGAGGGAGGGGCAGATTTCAAATTAAAAGAAAGATAGGTCAAAAAGCTGTTTTTAGGTTTTTTTGGAAACGTTTTACCAAAAAAATGCGTTTTTTTGGCACGCGCTTCACTTAATATACATTAGCGCCAAAGCCTCCTTTAGAAAAATATTAGGGTTGGTTGTCGAAAATGGATGCCATGAAATACTACCCTTTGGTTGTTGAGGAGGTCAAATCTCTGAAAATCGAATATGCTGGGAAGAGAAAAAGTAAAAGTGCAAATATTTTTCAATGCTGAAAAAACATCGAAATGAAATGACGCCATTTCAAATGCTTAAATCTGTACTTAAATTTTTGATTTCCAATTGAAACAAACCATTGATCACCCAAAATTTTTCTTCTAGAGCCTCTCAATGTTCAATCACTCCTAACTATCATCGAAAGTTGCTGTTGATTGTTTTTTGAAAAAGATTCTAAGCCTTTCATTTCATTAAGAGCCTAGCTTTTTAAAAATAGAAGAATCTTTGATTTGAATTGCAGTGCCTGAAGTCTAAATTGTGAAAACATTACTCGATAGGCAGCTAACTGCATGGCTTTTTTGGTGTTCTTCCAAGATGGGATTTTTATAAATTACTAAATTAATAAATTATAGGCAAGTTGTTGTCTTCTTGAAAACAAATTTCTTATTTACTAATTAAACTTCTTAGACTGATAACTTGACTGAATGTGTTTCGTTTCAGTTTCGTTCGTGATCTCCTTTGTCATTATCACTCATGGCTGCTGGACTGGGTTCGGAATATGGGTGGGGGCATCTTACGGCCTCATTTTTGTCATGTGTGCCACCATTCTTCTCGCCAGGCGAAGATCACTCTTCGTGAGTACCACTCCTTCATTCAAAATGAATTTAATGGCCTTTCTTCTAATCAATTTCTAGAAACAAAAATGTACGTCCGAGTTTTGCAAAAGAAAATCTCTGTAATCGAAAATTTTTGATTTGCAGCAATTTTGCATGCAGAAAACTGAGTAGGAGAATTTGGGGTTAACCAATTGATGAAAGTACTGAGAAAATGTTCTCATTTTGTCCTGTTTAGGTGGGATCTCTGTTCCGCATGTCCGACTCCTACGAGAGTCTGGATGGGTCAGATGAATGTGACGAGTCTTCCGACCTGAGAGACATGGGCAAACACGGAGGAAGCCACAAGTCCACAAACATACTTATCAATTTTTTCGAGGTGCAACTCCCAGCATAATCAATATTTTCCATTTTAACTCCACCACTAGGCTACCCGCATCCAGTTTCAAGCATTAATAATCGCTTGTAATACGATTTTAGTACCAGTCTTACTAAAATTGAGAAACAATCAATTTTAATCAATTATTAATCGATTATAACCTCTCTTTTTAAAATCAAACTATAATTAATTATAACCCATTATAATCGATTATAATAGATTATTTATTCGTCTATTTTTCGATACAATTATAATCGATTATAATTGATTATAATCCATTATTTTTATTCAAATTTCTAGTTCTTTAGTTTTGCACAAAAATCCATTGTAATCGATTATAATTGATTATAATCCTTTTTGTTTGTCCATTTTGTCTTCGAAGTTGCATCTAAATTGCTTATATTTTATGCTTTTTGTAGACGTTGGTTTCTAAGAAAATAAAGAAACTTTTTTTAAAAGTTTTTCAATTAATTCAAGTTTATAAGTTTTTTTTCATTTCTTCCCCATTAGAGTTGTTTTGCAATGCATATTTTAAGCTTTTTTCAACACCAAAAAATCAGCAAATTAATTTAGTTTCATGTTTGATTCGGAAGATTTATTTTTCATTTACCTCGGGAACCTTTCCACTCATATGAAAGGATCTCTATGAAACTTTTGTTTCGTGGTAAAACTTTGTGTTTAGATGAACCAAAGTGTTCAAGAGATCTCTCTTCTAGAGATTTTCTTATTGACACAAAAATAATAACCCATACGATATAATTCGAATGTAGTTTTGAATTGACAAAATTTTGGCAAAATAAGAGATTATAATCGATTATAATCGATTATAAGAGATTATAATCTCTTGGAAAATATCACAATTATAATCAATTATAAATTTTTTAAACACCTAATTTTGGTAATTATAATCAATTATAATTGTCAAAAAATCATCATAATAATCTGTTATAATCGATTACTAAACTTGGATGCGGGTACATTTTTAGTACATCTGAAACAGATTTAGCATATTGCTAAACGTTATGGACACAACTACACAACAGCAGTCCTCCGTAAAGAGCTGAACCAATCGCATATTAGTCCTGTTCCTCGTGAATAAATCTTTGAAAAATTTGAAAAAAAATCGATGTTTTTTTGCAGTTTTGTTTTTTTTCTGCTTTTTTTTTATTTCTTGCGCACTTATATATCTCGAACCAAACATTATGGGTGCTCTTTCATTTTGAACAAATCGCATATTAGTTCTGTTCCTCGTGAATAAATTTTTGAAAAATTTGAAAAAAAACCGATGTTTTTTTGCAGTTTTGTTTTTTTTCTGCTTTTTTTTTATTTCTTGCGCACTTATATATCTCGAACCAAACATTATGGGTGCCCTTTCATTTTGAACAAATCGCAAATTAGTCCTGTTCCTCGTGAATAAATCGTCATTTATTTTTCAACGTTGAATCGTCACTGATTAGTGAAAAATACGACGTTAACAATATAAAAAACCCATTATTACTTGAGTTAATACATGATTTGATTTTAAAGGATTTCAAGGTCCATCTGTCGATATTTTTTCTGAAATAAGCAGCTTCCTGGTCCTTAACTGTTACTGCAAGTAAAAGAGATTGCGCGAGATGGGGAAAAAGAACTATGATACAGTTTCGAATCAATCGCCACAAAGTATCTCTGTTTTGGTTTTAAATAGTACTAAGCCCTCAATACATTTGAAGAACCCAGCAAGAGGAAGAGTTTTTCAAATTGGGTCCTACACAAAAAACACATTAGCGCTTAAATAGTCATCTGTTTGAAAATCGATTTTTATGGCAGATGAGATACTGAAGGCCGAAGTCATTTGAGCGTTCAATTTATTTTTATCAAATGAAGAAGACATTTTTCCTGACCTATTCAAATATGTTCCCAGTTTTGTTGACATGCAAGTCCGCCATTTTGAACTAGTTATCAATCTTCGTTGGCATATTGGTTCTTGCTTTGAGGGAAATCACTTTGCTAATTTATCTCAAAATAGAAGGAAACTTTACCTTAAATTTTAATCACGGATATTTTAAGGAGTGCCTCTACTTATTCATCCGTGTTTTATGATTGCATCTAAGATTAATCTAATAACCGGTTTGCCGATGTTCACTTAGCCAACAAAAACTTTGCTGAAATTTTCTGAAATTAAACAGCTTCAAAGTTTATTGTTAAAATTTTCGAGATTAAGTTTTTCTATTTTCCGTAAGGGGTTTATATAATTTAATTTCTGGATTTTTTCTTGTCTTGCTGATTGCAACTTTCGGCCAACAGACCATCTTGAATTTGCTTAAGTCAATGTTTTCTCCTTTAAGCAGGAAACTCTCGCGACAGACGATTATTATTGCAAATTGGACTCTTTTCCCACGGGTATTTTTACCTCTAATTTGAGCCAACTTCATAAAATCTGCTCCGATGCACTTGAATGAATTGGATGTCGTTTTGATACCCAAATACTTTGGCGCTTAAATCTCCGCATTACCAAGAAATAGAATTTTTAGCCGCTCAAAGAAAAAAATACTGTTCAGACGATTTGTTTGATGCTGTTTAACTTGATGCAATTGAAAGGCGAATTAAAAACAGAAAATCCGATTAAGTAACAGCGAAACAAATTGACTGTAAGATTAGATCTACAGATTGCTTTTGATGTTCATTTCCAGATGAAAATGGTCAATTAGTTTTCTTCAGTTTTTCATGGTTATAAAAAGAACAAGACTGCTCGTATCAGGGCGACGCCCTGAAAGTTCCGACTGCCTTTTAACGTTTTCGAAGCAGTAGAAACATGAACAACATAAAAAAATTCAATTAAAGAAATTAAAATGAAAAAAAAAATTCTAAAATTTGAGAGTTTTTCTTTGAAAATCATCCAAAGGATGAGGGAAAGGATAAATTTCCCTCCTTGTAACAAATCAATTATGGCAAATAAGCTTCTTTCAACCAATTTGGAACGATTTCTAAGACGTATTAACTCTCCGCTTACACGTTAATAGCGAGAAATATATCGCGCGTTAATTTCCCAAATTGGCCAAAATGGCAACCCCCATAACTTTACAAAAAATGATCACAGGTGAAATATCTTTTCAAATTTGAGCTCAAGACAACAATACCTTTCGAATGATATAAAAAAAAATTCCGTCAAAAATGGCTAGTTAAAAAGTCGAAATTTGTCTAAAGAAAAAAAAACCACCCCGAGCACAAATATTCCGTTACTTTCGCATCCTTTAGTATTTCACTCTGACGGGGTCTTTTCGGTTATACCCCCCTAAATTATGAAAAATGAAACAAAATATTTTTAATATAAAATTGGAACGCTGTAACTAAGAAATTCACTAAATTATTATGGGAGTGGTAAAATGAACAGTTTTTACGTAATTAAGCCTCAAACTGACTTTTTCTCCAATTTTCGTAATTTTCTGAGCATGAATTTCATTAAAAGGATGCAAAATGCGTTTTAATTGTCGTTATATTCTCATTTTTGCCAGTTTCTAGCTTGATTTAATGCTCGTGATATCAGCCCAGCATTTTTATGGAAAACCTTTCAAATTTTCTATTTTTTTTTTATCATTTAAGGGAGTGTAACTGAAAAGACCCCTCTGACTTCAATAAAAATAAAAAAAAATCATAATTTTATTAAAACTCGATGTTTATTTGTAGTTTTTGCTTTTTTCTGCTTTCGTGATTTCTTGCAAGCTTATATATCTCGAATCAAACAATATAGGTGCCCTTTCACTTTTATCTGTTTTCTGTTACAAAGGGCCTCCGCCACTCCACCATGACTGGTTTCACAATTTGTTCCCCTTCAAAATCATAATGAGTCTTTTTTCAAATAAGAGCAGTTTTTTTGTGTTCAAATATCTCAGTTTATTCTTCTACACAGTCAATTTTCTTCATCACTGGTAGTTTTACGGCTCTAACTTCTTCGTTAAGCTGGCTAGGTTCGGGAACGCTTTCGCTAAATAGTTAGTACTACCTAGAGATGATCTGAGTTGTTTTGAAATTTTAAGAGGATTCACCTTTTGAATCGTTTTCCTTTTCGATATCTGTGGAATGATTTCTAACAAATTATGGTCCGACCAATCCACTTTCTCTTTGGACAAATCACATATTGTGAAAAGTGTTTTTCATCTAACTTTCTCTTTGGTAAGTTTTCTTCATCTAAATTTTTCGTTAGTTTATTGGACAAAGTTTTTGTGTTCAGCTTCATTGCCCTTCGATACCAATTAAATTTTGCCTAGACAGTTAATTGTGTTTTTGACATTGTTAAGGGTTCCATCCAACGCCTTTTGAAATTCAACCGGCATATCTGCCAGGCAATAATATCCGGTCATGAGTCTACATACTCCAGAGGAATTTCCACGAAAATTTTAATTTACAACGCTTGGCTGTTTCCACAGCTAATTTCAACTGCCTCTACGCATATTTCAGGTCAACACCAAAAAAATGTCTGGGCGTTTTCTTGCCTTCTGGCAGTTTTGCTCACCCTATCAAACAATTCATCAAATTTGGGCATTTGCCAAATAATTGGTTTTACGTCCCAAGCCAACTTTATTGAATCATACTTACTGTGATCACATTTGGTGCAATGGAACAATCACTAGATTATCTAGCCAATCTTGAATTAGTTTTTTCCTTTTAATAATTTCTTCATTTCTAAATATTCTTCATTCTGAACATGTATCCGAACTCTTCTGCCTTTCTTTTGGATAGGACACGTTTGATTGTTGAGCAAACCACCTAGTTTTGGCTTACCTTGTTTGACTGATAATTGTTTAAATTTGTTGAAGAAAAGTATTTTCCAATTTTCAGACTGCTCGCACAGTAGCACTCACGTCAAAAAAATGACAGTTCTTTTTGTGTCGACCTCTATGTTGTGGAAACTCCCAGCTGTATTTTCATACCAGTGCCGAGAATACACCTTTTTTTCTGCAATATTGGTCGGGTTTTCCATCCCACTGAGCACAAAGTCCTCTTCAGTATACCCAAAACTAGTATTGAAAGCTTGATTTAATCAACGATTTGGGCTGATAAGTTTAACTTCTAGGCCGGGATGAATTTCGGTTTAATCGACTGATCCAGATATTGTTTCCTTGTTTCCCAATTAGTGCGCGACACTGGGTTTACTTTGTTCACAGTCGTACGCAAAACTTGCTGTTTGTTTTCACCAATGCTTTCAACATTCTAAATTTGATTGATTCCTGATTTTATGTAATATAAGCCTTCTTAATAGATACCCCCTGTGCCATTTTTTCCGTATGTCTAGACTGGTTTGCGAATCGTTCTTGCACGTGCTTGTCAATCTGTACTACTGGTTTGGATTGACATGATTTCAAACTCATTGAGCTCCTTAAAATCTTCTACCAGGTTACGCGCTTCCTCCAATAGCTAGTCTGAGTCTTCTTACCATCGCTAACTGAGCGAAAAAGTTTTGCCATGTGATTCTATTGTCGGACAATTATTTAGATGACCATCCGCAAAAGACCTCCAAAATTTTCTCCAAGATTTATGCTCCCTTTTTTTTATTTCAATGATTTAAGTGTGTTTCAAAAAGTTCTTTGTTAATGAAGTCTCTGGAACTTTTTTTGGTTCATATTTCTGACTATCATGATCGGTTCTTGCTTGATTTTTCACGTTTAAATTAATGTTATTAACACTGGAGCTGCAGTCCTTGACTTTGTTTTTCAGACCGATGTCGCTGGCTCAATTTTTTCAGCAATATTTTGAGTACTTCATCCGGATATAGAGTTTCAAACGTTAACTAGTTTTGTATTGTTAGATTTTCCTTTTTCGAGTTGAATAAGTCTCGCACCAGTTCATCCTCCAGCGTAGCCAGTTCCGACCTAACTGTCTGGGCAGTTAGTGTTGCATGGAAAGTTTTCAACAATTCTCATAATCTTGAGCTCCGTTGAACGATTTATTTCGTTCGTAGGTGACGCTTTTTACTTTCTCAAAAACTTCCGTTGCCATTTCTCTCATATCCTTTAAGATTACCTTCGATACTTCTACGAGTGAATTTTTCGCTTGAATTTTTTCTTTCTTTCTGTTCTTGGCGTCAAGAACAGTCTTGACACTAGTCGTTTTTGGATCTCGACTTAATAGATATTATGTCCCATTTTTGGACCTCCTACTTTTTTCTTTATTTTGTTGTACTGACTTGTAGGTGAGAGCTTGTTTTTCAATTCCCTATCTGCTAGTCTGCGTCTTCAACAAATCTCGCGGACTCTAGCCTAGGCGGAGATGTTTCCATTACCCATTTCGGATCTTCTAATATCAGTTCCGGGTTGAAGTTTTCCTCAATTGTCACCGCCAATAAAAATTATTTCAGCCAAATGATGAATTACCGCTGTGGATCTGAGTTTTCTATGGTCCAGAGACCGGTATTTTATGTACGTTGGGTTGTCTTGCTTTCGAAATCCTGGTTGCTGAGCCGTGGGATATTTTAAGGAGCTCGCTGTTGCTTGAGAAATACGTTGTTGTTCAAAACGTTAACTCTGTTGTTGCTTCCTTCGCTGTTGCTTAGGAAATACGATGTTGTTCAAAACATTAACTCATGTTCTCTGAACATCGTTGTGATCTGATAGTGTGAAGCTGCTTAGACTTGCTCCAGCTAATGCCAACTCTGAATCATAGATAGTACGATTGTTACAAAAAGTTGTAGTTACCTTGACACATTAAGTATACTTAGGTTAACATTAAATATGTACCTAACAAATTAGTTTCAAGATAACTGCCTAGCAATACGACAGACATGAAACTTGTTCTCGGAACAAATCGTGCAACTTGAACAACAATCGGTCTCTCTTGTTGATAAAAGTCTCACAGATAGTGTTTTTGAGGGCGTTAACAGTGCCAAAGTACATCAGAGCTGAAAAATCAAGTTTTATTCAACAGTGTCAAAATTTGATGTTTTTCGGCACAATTGAACAACATTTTTTTCGACACTTTTGCTGTACTACCTCTGTTTTTAATGTAAGTTTCGACCATATTTTTCAACAAAAACGAGACTTAAGTTTAAGAGCATAATACTATTGATAAACGTAGAAAACCCTTGCAAATGTTCAACTTATCTACTTTTCAGGACATCCGTTCAATCCAGAAGTCGCTGTGGTTCTTCGTGCAGTTCGCAGAGTCCATCGGAGTGGTGAGTGGCATTGTAAGTCTGAGTGCAGTGATGCTAGTGAAGGACAAGTGGGATCTGACCAGAGTGGAGACCTCTCTCTTCACCCTCCTCCCCATGGCCATAACACTGCCAGCCTTCCTTCTCACCACTCTCATCCCCTGCAACCTATACTCAAAGCTACTTGTCGGAATGTGCGTAAAAACTAAATTGACCCACCAGAGATGTGCTCTATCTACAATACATTTTTTGGAAATAAATCTCTCAGTTTAGCCATACAAAGCCATTAAAATTTATCAAATATAATTTTGGTGGTAGGTCAGTAAATCGATGAACCAGAAGGCCAAAAACGGGGGGGGGGACCAGATCAATAAATCGAAAACTAATGATTCCATTACGTAATCGCATTAGCTGAAAAGTGAGATTTTTATAAAATGACAAATTTTTTCCTCAAAACATAAATTGATTTTTAAAATGGAATAAAATAACTCTTCCCATGCGCACCGTAGTTTTAAAAATTTTGTTCTGGCTCAGGAAACATTTATCTATGAATCGTTAATTCCGCAATTGATGTAATTAATTCGTAAATCGGCTTACTGATCTGGTATTTTACTGACAAAGCGGTTTACTGTTCGCACCCCATAATTTTATTCTTGCATTTGGCAGAATAACAATTTTCTACATTTCAGCATATCATGCGATTTTTGCGGTCTCGATAGTTTGACAAACCTAAATTTCATAAAAAGATGAAACGACGAAAATATATAGCTTCTCTATGCATAGCATTAGGGCGGATCTAGGATTTTTTGAGGGTGGGGAAGATTTTCCAAATTTTCTTGAGGGTGGGGGCGATTTCCCCTCTCAAATATATTATTTATTGGCGCCAAATTCGCCTTTAGAAAACTTTTAAGGACGGTCAGTCGAAATGAACGACAATCATTATGTCGGATTTTTAATATTTTGATGCTAATCAAAATTTGAGTTTGAAAAAAATTTTATAAATAAATTTTCTGATTTTGGAATAACGCCATAAACTTACTCAAACTAATATTTGAAAAAATGGGGAAGTTTGCCATTTCAGGTTCGTCCCAACTCTAGTGGCCATTCTACCCTTCGTACACAATCTGTATGCCATTGGCTTTATAATCTTCTGCTGTGAACTGGCCAACTCTATGCGCCTGGCGGCCATGACGCCCATCATGAACTCATTCATGAACAGCAAACAGACCACGATACGGCTGGTGTCCATAGTCACCCTACTGTCTTTTGCATACAAGACTATCGGATTGTCCCTAGGTAGGCTAAGCTCCCATTTTTTGAATTCATGTTTCTACAAAATTAAATTAATTTAATCAGAACGGACGAAAAACCAACCCTAATTTTCAGATGATTAAATAACTGTATTAAAATGCTGCAATTAGTGTTAAAATGCAATTCTTTCGATAAATGGTGTAAAAATTCAGTTTAGTTACTGCTGCTACAGGTCAGCAATGAACATAACAAAATGACAATGGTTCAAAACCAAATAAACCATTTTCCATTTTTGTTAAGCGGAAATTCAATTAGAAAAATGGAAACATTATTTACTATTTGCTGAAGAAGCTCATTTAAAATTGGAAGTTTATTGAATTTTATTTGCATATTTCAGGCATGATAGAATAAATCTAATTTACATATCAAATGAATTCAAATGATTACTATCAAAGGGGTAACTACAATCCAAATGCCCTTTAAATGCCACTGAACTTCATGTAGAAATCTACAAGAAGAGCAATGGAAATTTAAAAAATAAAACACGTTTTTGTTTCGTTAGTTGATTTGTACGGTATGTTTGGACACCTTATGTCCCATTAGGTTTCATTATTTTTCAACTAAATTGCTCCAGGTGCCTATCTGTTCACGATTTGGGAACCATTTCCCTTCATCGCAGCCGGACTGTTCCAAGTGATAAATGCAATGGGAATCCTGTCACTCAAACCATACATAGACAATCAGATGTCCAAAGATGCAGCTATGGAACGCAAGACGCTTTTAGACCATCACTAGTGCAATAAATCAACCAATCAATTACAGCAATCAGTTAATTTTAATCATGAATCAGTATTTTGCAATCAGCTCCAGGATAGGAAAAATTGAAGTCGGCCATATTAGGTCAGTAAAGTCAGCAATTTTTTCCACAGATGACATGAAAAATATGATTCTCCTTGCAATGTTTGAACCAATATTTTTGGCGAGCATATTGCCAGATTGTGCCAAAATTATTTAATTATTAGCAAGTAATTTTGTTAAATTCCAATTTTCTATCTTCAGTGTTTTTGTTTGAAAGCAGTTTTCATTAAGAATCGTCCAATATTGTGATTTTATTTTAATTTGATGTTCTCATATAAGTTGTACTTAAACTTCGGTGATGCGACCAATTCAAAATTCAAACGCTAATATAATTTTATGAGCTCCCTTTCTCATTATATAAGTTCTATGCTAGAAACATGCAAGTTGCAAATCGGTCAAGTTTTACCCATTTAGAATGCAAAGTTTTCATTAATTGGTCACACGTCTTAGAGGCCACACGTCTTTGAATCTATGAACATTGATGGGCCATAGTTGTTTATGTTTGAGCTGTTTTACATACCTGAAATTTGAGCATTACTGTGAAACTCTCGGAGCAGTAACGATTTGCTCAGCAGCGTCAACCCAGGTATTCAATTATGGGATACTGACAATGTGTTAATGTTTTCCTGGCCTCTTGCTAATTCTTAATCATCGAATATTCTGACAAGTCTAATCAAATGGCTATTTTAAAGAAATTTAACTATAAATTGCCCATCAAATCAGCCTACAAATAAGCATCTCGTTTACATACCACTTTTCACGATAAATAAAAATTCTTTTTTTTTGTTACCAAATTTGTTTCAGTTTTTTTAGCGCCTTAGTTGTCTTTGGTTGCTTTTGTATGCTAAATAGTGGCTTTTATTCTAAGTTTTGCATGTAAAAACTGACTGAATCTGAAGACACTAAGCCCATATCAGCATCAATGCAGACCTATGGACGTAAGATTATTTTACAAGGGCTTCCAAGGCCATTGATTAACCAGATAACAAAACTTAGTGACATATGACTTCTTTATCGAGGATACCGATGGCTCAGTTGACTCAACTGCTTATGATAAATAGTGTTTGTCCTTGAAAATGTACGGACTAAGATCAGCAAAAAATGATGCGGAGGTTACTTCAGGAACTCGAGATACACACCATCAGTTGCGGTGCTAGAGTTGTTATCAGACACGCCTCTCTACAGGTTCTCAGTGAGACCGGTATGTAGAAACTGCAAAAACTAACGCCAAGACACATTTCGGAGGCTCAATTTTGTTTACAGCTATCATCATTGGACATTTGTTAGTAGGACGCGTTTGATAGAATCGATTGAAAATAAAATCAATCAATCACGCTTTGACGGTTTGCAGCCGGCGCGGAAGAAGTTCAAATGTCCATGAATAATCAAAACTGGTTGTATCTCTATGAACAGAAGGTTATATAGCTGACCTACTGACACGATCAATCACTATATCTGTTTATCAACGACGTAATTTTCATCAAGAAAACGACTCAAAACATTGATCCAACTTGCTAATAAAATGATTTAGCAAAAATGAATCTTTTACTAGAGAATTAGTGACACCAACTCAAACATAGGTTATAGATAAAACTTGATGTCGTTAACTAGCTAAAAAAATAAAACAAGATTTTTTTCGTTAGTTGATTGGTACGGTATGTTTGGACACTTTATATCTTTACTCAATTTGTTCAACTAAATTGCTCCAGGTGCCTATCTGTTCACGATTTGGGAACCATTTCCCTTCATCGCAGCCGGACTGTTCCAAGTGATAAATGCAATGGGAATCCTGTCACTCAAACCATACATAGACAATCAGATGTCCAAACTTAAGTTCAATACAATGATCAAATCTATCTGGTTAACCAGATGTCAAAGAAAAACGAGACACACAGAAAATTTCATAAAAATTGACTTAAAAAAAACAAAGTTGCGGAGCAGGTAGGCAAAAATCTCGGACTACAGCTGTTATTGAGTTTAAAACAGAAAAGCTTTTCAATAGGTTTAACGGCGTAACTTTCGAAACTCTGGAAAAAAAAGGACTAGAGCAGCAAATTTACGCTTGAAAAGTTAGTAACTAGCAGTTTGTTCGATTTCACCATTTAGTAGCTTTAAATATGTGTGACACGCACAAATGTTTACTCTGGACACTGAGATTTTTTTGCGGCTAGAACCACGTTAAATTGTATCACGGCTGGTAACTCAAAGTTTTCTCAGCGTCAAAAGACTTTACAGCCAATTTTTTTTTAATTCAGAGGATAAAATGAAAACGGAGGAAAAAAATAATAATTTCAAAAAATTTGTCGGGTCAGAAAATTTAACGGAGGGTTCTGATAATACAATAAAAGAAACGTACTTCAAATCAACTTATAATTGCCTTTCCTTGCCAATTAAACTTGAAATAAAACGTGATAAAAAATTACAATTATAAAATAATTTAATAATAAAAATGTGAATCTTCAAATTAGAAATGTCAAAATTCTGCGAACTTCCAAATGTTCAATCCAAATCTGCTATTTTCAATTTTAGTTTTTTCTGGTTTTCTGCAACTTTTTTTCAGATACTTTTTGCAAATCTCCCTTTTAGTTTTTTTCAATTCAACACCACTGATTTGCAGATATTCTTGCAAAAACTGTAGCTTCTGGCTATTTGTAGTTGGTATGTTTTTTTTCTCAGTTTCAGTTTTGCCCATAAGTTGCGTCGCCCATAGTATCAATTTATATACCTTGTCGACATACAAAAATAATCTTCTGTCATATTTGATGTTGCCTGAGGATATAAGTGAATATGGTATTTGACTTTTCAAATAAGAAACTGAATTTAAAATATGAACCAAATAAATGGGTAAGCCAATCGCCCACAGAAGCGTTTATAATATGAGCTGCAGTACAAATTATAAATTAAGTTCATAAATTTTTTTGATAGAATTAAAACCAAAAAAACTCCCAGTGAATGTTCGGAACAAAATAACTAGTCTTTTGCTGTATTAGAAGCGCACAATCTTGCGACAACATTGATCACTAGTGAAATTTCAACTGATTATTACAAACGAAAATTTTCAGCATTGTTTTCAGTTACTTCAGCATTTTTTACGCAAATTTGAATATGCGTTTTGCAAAAACAAGCAGGTAGCTCCAAAAAGCAGCTCCAAAAACCGGAAAATAAATAAAGAATCTCACTGAAACAATAAGCTTTGAAAAAAAGAAATGCCATCTACCGGAACTCAACCACTAACATGGAAAGTACGAGTCAAAATTTTTCAAATTTTTATTACAAAGTGTAGACTTTAATTAGAAACAAAGTAGCCACAACAATTCCTATCGAACATAATCTATTAAATTGTCACTGCTATGCAGCAAAAGTGGGCATCAAAATCTACAATAATTAACGTGCAAGCTCGGTTAACAAAACATCGATTTGCTGTCTAGCTCTCTTGGGTACCAAAAATGTGAGGGCATTAAAAAATTATTGATATTAAGTATTGAAATCAGGCTTGACATTAGTTAAGTTTATCTAATTGAAAAAAATAAGATCAGAATGGGAGTGATTTTTCAAGCTCTTTGGCTTGAATCTATTTTTCTTTTCCAAATTATCTCAAAATAGAAAAACGCATATTTCGAAAAAAAAATCCGGATTCCGAATAACGACTCAAATAACCCCTGAGTGTTAGGCAGTTCAACTGTCGTTGAGGTACCTAAATTGACACCACAAAGCACCATATTACTCTATACGTTTTCCTAATCCATTTGAGTGGTCAGAGTAAAAAGACTGACAGCTTCTGTGTAAGTTTAAGAAAATGATAAATTCCAATTATAGATAACCTTGCAAAATAATAATTCGGAAAAACTCATAAAGAAAAATTCATAAATCATAATTCTCAGAAAAATTCATAAATCATTTTATGAAGAAAGAGGAGCGGTGTTAAATTTATCAATAAATAATTAGCGGTAGTAGAAAAAAATTCCATTTTTTTATCTACTTAGGAATTCTTCGTATGTAAGTTTAGACGGAAAAACTAAAACTTCCCTAACCGTTACTCAAAAAAAACGTAAAAATCGCACCTCAAACCATAGTTCCTTCCTTGGTGTAAATTTGGTCGGACAAAAATCAGGGAATTTATGGAAATCTCGACCTTCTGATACAATTAACCCATATGCTTCTTCAAATCCTATAGGTTGTCTTATTGAAACAGAAGTTTTAAAATGAAAATTCAGAGAAAAAAAAGTTAAGTAAACTAAACTAGATTAATCAAGAGCTAATGCCATCGCTAAAGTAGTTTTTATCCTAAATATAATGTGTTGTGATTTACATCATGTTTTGCAATTACTGCAAAACATATTAGTTTATTTAACTGGTCACTTTATTATGACCTTCATTGGTCATTCTCTCCGGCGGAGAGAATGATCTCTCATTGTTTTAATGTTTTAACTTACCGACTAATTCATCTTAATTCCATATTCTTTTTATAGTTTTAACTTAGAATTAGCTACAACAAAGTAACATTTTATCATGGCGCAGTCAACTAACGAATCTAACGTGAGAGGAATACCTCCTTTTTGGCAAAACCATACGGTAGACCCTCCCATTCCATGGGAAGACTGGAGCGATCTGTTTCAATTAGCTATCATTGCTAAGGAAAACATTGACATAGAAAATCTATTCAATCCGTCGGAGAGACAACACCCATTACCTCCAAATTTGGAAAACCCGACAGACGGTGAAACAGATGCCCAAAGACGCTCCAGATTAGAAAGAAACACTCAAGAGCAAAGACGGTATGACGAAGAAGAAACTGCTTCGATAAAAACTGAAACCAAGAAATTCAACGGAATGCGAATAGAAGAAGCAGACAAGAAATTACGTTCGGTTTTATATCTGGCACTGGGTAATGAAGGAAAAAGGATCTTTGGACAAAAATTTACCAAGGTGAAAGTTCTGCAAATTTCTTTTAAGGAATTCTGGGAGTTCTTAGCGATTGCATTCGTAAGAAAAACAAATGTCACATTTGAACGACATAAACTATTAAATAGAAAGCAACGAGAAAGAGAATCCCTTGAACAATTTTGGGGTGCCTTAGCCGAAATGGCCAAAAAGTGCGACATATCCGCAGGAGAAGAAGAGTGGATAAGAGACATTTTCATAAATAATATGAAAAACTACGACATTCAAAGGAAATTGTTAACAGAAACCCTCCCTCCACGCGAAGCACTAAATGTTGCACTCATAGATGAAAAAGGAATTTTAAACCACCTGAAATTAACAAATAATTTTAAATCCAACGGATCATCCGTACACAGACCAAGTAACCAC